AGGGTCAGCAATCCGTTGGTAATTTACCAGGAAAGGGGTTTTATTTGAGATTTTCGGAGAGGGAGAGGGAGAGTCATGTGGTTGATGTGGTCTCGAGAAGTGGGGCCAATGAGATTTTAGTGGGCGTTCGTTGGTGATTGAGAGGTCATTTGTAATGGAGAGGGATTCTTGCAAAAATTTTATTCACGAAAGATCCATTGAACGATCTTTAAAAATCGATCGAAGAAATCCACGAACATCCATAAAAAAATCGATCAATCGTTCGTTGCACGTTGGAAACCTGAATGTTGCTGGCTAAGTGGTAGGAAGGGGCACCGCTTTGGATGGGGTGTTTGTAGAGGGGGAGGGGGTCATGTGGTTGTGTAATGTGATTACGAGAATGAGGCCGTATATGAGATTCTACAGTGGGTGTTCTGGCAATTTTTTTTCACGCGCAAGATCCATGAAGTGAGCAATATTGTATCGCTCGCTATTTCTTTAGACATTTGCCTTCGGCCCCTCCCCCTAAAACCCGGTAGGGGATCATATAAAGACTACGGGAGCCGGTCTTGAAATTTCTGAGATTTTCCCCAAGCATGGTTGACCCTGGTGGGGAGTTGTGCTGATGATTCTCCAGGTCATTTTGGTCGATTCCCCGTGTCATCGTTTCAACTGCAATTTCCTAGTTTCTTTCCAATTTTCCGTAGCTGCTGTTGACCTGTTTTTTTTGTCTTTTCAGTTCCCTATTTTCTGCTTTTTTCAATGCAGTATCAGTCTTTATTTTCCCGTCTGCTTCATTCCTTTTTCTATCTTTTCTATTCGTCATCCTTCTACCTTGATTTGTTTCTTTCTTCTTTATTCTCTGTTCCTTGACGATCAATCAACTCAGTTTTGGGTGGGTCCGAAAAACTGTTGACCAATAAGGGGGGGGGGAAGCAGCGGATTTGATCCACATATGACTGCATGGACGGTAGTGCGATGCAGTGAAGGGGTGTGGGCAGAGACATGTAGACGGAGAATAGGTAGAAAGGAGCACAGGGAGACAGAGTGGGGAAAGTCTGAAGTACATACTGGTGAGTAGGCAGAGGGCAGGTTGAAACGGACATGTGCAGAGGTGGAGGTAGGCAAACGTTGATGGACAGGTGAGGAGGTGGTGCGGTGGACGGACCAGATGCAAGAGGGTGGGCACAATCAGAAGGGAGAGAGGGGAGAGGACACGGACAGAGGTAAGGTAGGGGTGGATGGACACATAACTACAAGATGGGGATATGAACAGGAGGGGGGCATATGAACGTGTAGAATAGTCGGGGGGGGGGACGTTTCAGCGACAACAGGAAGGCAACAACACTCGCCGCCTGTCGTCCCAACTCTTTCTCCCTCCTTTCTCCTGCCGTTCATGCCTCCCCGCCTATCGTACCTACATCCGCCCGTGTACCTTCCCGTCTTTCAGCACTTGTCTCTGCCCACCCTCCTGGGTGCCCCTCCACATCTCCCTCTCATTACCTTCCGTCAACCTCTGTGTCTCCCTCCTCCTCTGCATACGTCCACATCCACCTGTCTGCCTCGGTCTTTCATTACCCCCTGCTACCCTCGCCCACCTCTGTCCGCATGCTCGCAGTCCGTCCGTCAACCTTCCAAATTTCCCGTCTCCATCCGTGTATAACTGCCCAATACTATCTGATAGAGGTTCAATCGATGTCATAACTTAGCCTTCCTGTCGTTTTCGAATTTCAGATGCTGGATTATGATACTTATTGATTTTATAGCCCAAAAGATGGAAGGAACAGATGAGAAGGGGCGCAGAGAAGCAGAGAATGAGAAGAAGCACCCAAGAATGGACTATGAAATAAGCGAAAAAAAAGAAAGCTCAAGATCAGACGAATAATGTCAGAGGAAGAACAGATAAAAAGAAAAGGCAGAGATAAAACGAAGAGAAATCGAGAAAAGAGTCGTAAATAAGAAAAATGGAAGGGTAGCAAACAGCAGGAAGTCGACAGTTGGAAATTCAGTTTTTAAGAGTTAACGGCGCAATCACAACATACGGGGGCATTGTCGTGGCAAGTACTTGAAATCGCTCCAAATATCTCCTTTTTGTTTGGAACTATACCAATCCTTAGGCGAGGGGGAGAATCTCCAGGAACTTTTATATTGCTCTGATTTTCTGCCTTTTTTTGGGATTTTTCCTAGTGGATGCCCCCGTGTCTTGCGATAATGCCGAATAGGTAATTCACCGGTTTTTTCCACCTTTGTCATCCTACCCCTGAATTACAGAATTATGACGGCACCAAAAATCTTTGGATGCTCTGATTTTAAGCAGAGGACAGAAAATTTTGAGAAGATTGAAAAAGGAAATTTTCTACAGATGTGTAAAAAAGTAAAGGTAAGCAGGTCACTGTAGATCGACGAGGATGCCAGGATCACGAAAACCTACAACAGTAGAAGTCGAAATTTTCGCAAGTAGAGCAGTGAGGAGAGAAACAAGCAGAAGAGGAGAACAATAAAGATGTATCGGAAAGGGAAAAGGATAAAAAATCAGGAAGTAGCCCCTAAACTGAATGTATCAGACAGAGAAGGTACGCGTCTGAGGAACAGGAAGACTACTCCTTCGCTTCAACATCTGTTGAGGTCTTACCCAATAACCGGGCTCAGCCGTCCGGTAGCACAGCTTTAAACAGGGGAACAGGCCGTGTTTGCGATTTTTGAAGGGGACATATTTAGGGTTGACTAAGGTGCCATCTGTGGAAAATTATGGACGGGTTCGTATTTGTGAAAGTTGAAAGGGTAATGGTTGCGGGAAAGGAGAGTTGTTTTCGCGATTTTCGTTTTTTTAAGAAATATAACGAAATTTTCACGAAGCGTGAAATGTTCAAAAGGAAGCATTTGCCGCTTGAAAGAGGGAGGGCTCGAAATATTTGAAAAAGTACTATCGCTAGGATACACAGTGCCCGTTAACCCTCCGGCTGGAAGCAGGATCAATCATCCGTTGGTACAAGTATCAATGCGAGAGTGGTGTAAGCAAATAAGGGAGGAGAGTCGGATTCGAGGTTGACTATGGTGATCACCTTTCAAAAAAAAGTTAACGGGATCGTATTGGGGAAGTTGGTGAAGTCGTGGTTGTAAAAAAGTCGTCTTCGACGGTTTTTTTTGCGAAGGGAAGGGGTTGTACAGGGATCCCTCCCAAAGCTAACGGCGGGCGGAGGGCGTACCAAGATCCCTTCGAGAGAGGGAAGGACGCAGTACCAAAGGTTGACCCTGGCTGGAAACTCTCTTTGAATTGAGCCACTAGAAAGTTTTAAAGTCCACCAAAGCAAAGAAAGAGCGAAAAGGAGAAATACTTAGAACACAGACCATTGAATATCACTGAAATTGAGCGCACGCGACGGGCAGAGGATTTCAGGAGAAGGCAGAGAAGAAGATTTTTCTGCAGAACCAAGGAAGCGAGACAATTTAAGCAATAGAGAGCTATAGCGAAAAGGAAAATAATGAGATTAATGAAAGACTTTCCTTACTCTCTGTGATCGAAATTTCCTTCCTTTAGCATTCTCTTCTCTCTCACAACCCTCCTTCGGTCACTCTACCCCAAGTAAAACCCGACACATTTTCAGGTTCCTCCCAGTCATAACGACAGTACTAGTATTATGACACCGATAGCGCTCCGATTCTTAGAAACTGCATTTCTGACTGGATTTCATGGACAGTATACCGACAGTACTGATGGAGACGGAAAAGAAGGCAGCAGCGCAGACGACCGAAAGAAATGCAGACAGACAGTTAGGCAGACGATAAGGCAAAAAGGCAATTGCAGACCGTGCTGAAAGCAGACAGCCAGACAGGTGGTCACGGACATACACAGATAGATGGAGACAGAGGGACGGACAGACAGCTACAGGGGACATGGATGGGCAATACACAGACGGATGGGCAGATGGGCACAGCTGAAGCGGAGAGATAGGCACACGCGGGCAGACAGACGGAGGCGGGTAGGCACAGACAAAGGGAAGGAAGCGGACTGACATGGACCGGTACCCACCCGAACGAAGCATGCACTGACGAGGACGACACCAACACCGACTTACTGGACAGTATGGACCTGGGCGATTTGGTAAGGTGTCCATGGCGATGTCGATCCATTTCTGCAGCTCCCTATGACACGACGAAACCATGGACCACCATAGCTCTAACGGATCTGCAATAAGCTTATCAAGAGATTATGAGAAAAGCAGGGAAGGGTCACCTTTCACACCTGCGGCCTTTGCTGCGTAGTCTTGTGGATCGCCAAAGAATCGCTCGGTCAGGCTTTCGATCCAATCGATCCATAAAAACATTTCACACCTACGAATAAATGCATTTCAAATTCCATTAACACTGAGCTTAAAGGCAGCGAACACGATGGGTAGAGGGCGGAGCGATTCTAGCGACGTCGTTGAGTGTGATTGGTGGATGGGAGTTAGAGGCGATCTCATCACACCCCCCTTCGCGTTGAGGGTCAGGTTCACCATGATCGTCTGTTGATGTCGTGAATTCGGCCACTCTCCAGCCACCTTGCTTACTGCCTTTAAATAAGCATCCAATTCACTACACAGAAACCGACAACCTTCCAATTCCTGACCTGCCAGAAGATGTGCGATGGCGGGCCTCTAGGAGATTCCTTGTACAGATTCTCGAATTAAATTCATCTGAAAAGGAAATATTTATATTGAAAAGGACCAACATAATGCCTGAAGATTGGCTCGATGTAGCGAAATTAGAGACGCTTTCAATGATTCACTTGTTGGAGCCAGTTGAGACTTGGAAAGGGCATCATGGGCACCGACAATAGTGTTGAGTTTTGCCCTTGGAATCTTTCGGCACACAGAAGGTGAGTCGGAAGGAAAACAATGGAAGCACAGAACATCTCCTTTATCGTAGAGAACCCCTGTCCCAGCGACGAGGAAGCCGGTGAGTTATGGAACTAAATTGGACCTCTCTTAAGAGAGGGGCATCTTATCTCTCAGTACAACAAAGAAAATTAAGGAGGAGACTACAGGTGAATAGAGACTGTAGACAGAATGGCTTAATGAATGAACTGATCGACCGCCATCCTGTCCTGCACCCCCCCCCCCTCCCCACTCCGCACTTACCACTCGTGGAGTCGACCAAGGCAGCTGATCTTGTACTGCCCAGATGGACACATGTTCAAATAGATACTGAAGGATCCGGGGATTCTAAGGAGCTCACTCTGACCTCAACTGTTAGGTAATGATGATTTTTCCTCTATTTACTTGTATGAATGAGATCTACGGGTGGCTCTGTTAGCACTATAGCGGGTCAATTAAAGGAATCTTGCGCGGAAAAATCATGATTCTATTTCAGCCATAAATCACTGGCTTGAGACTCATTATCCACGATAATAGTGAAAAGAACTGAAGTATTGCTTTCGTTTTGATTAGAAATTCGAAAACTCGAAAAGGCTGCTACGCGTTCGAATTGCCCACGGACGTCTTTCACGAATGCTGGCGACGGGGATGCTCAAACTTGGTTCTTGGAGTGCATTCACTAGAAGCTCTTTCTGGCCTTCTGCTTCGTTGCATTCACATCTTACACTTCTACTCCATCCTATTCCATCGATCGATTTGTCTCCACTCTCCGAAATCGCGCGCTTTAACCCGATTCTCTCATTGCGTCGCCTGGTACGTAGCCGGCCAAACGCCGTCTTCTTTCCATGCCTCGCCTGGCTCTGCCTCCTGGTCCTTCGATGGTCCATAACGTGTAGTTTTTGTACGTTTGTTTCTCTTCAGAAACCGAATCTTCATGCGTGAAACTTTGTGTGCTATTTCCAGTGATCACAACTGACATATTCATGTTAGGAAAGAGTGCAAGAATTTTCCGCGCAAGATTCCTTTAGGCGCGGCGGTACCCATCCGACCAACCCGACCAAATCGATTTTTTTGAAAATTTCTCCGGAGAACACTCTTAGCTAGGTATGGATCAGTGAGGTTCTATTATAATTCTGACCCATTACCTGCCAAAGACGTGAAAGCTCTTCATTCCACTGTTGGAGTACAAGAGAAAGAATATTCGGCAATGAAAAAGATGGTCTATCCAAATAGATGGGGGGGGGGAGGGGGAGGGGTCGCGATGTAAAACATTGTGTGAATTGCTGCAGTTGCAGTTCTGCTCAAGGAGTATTTAAACAGGTTTTTGGGCTAGTTGGTACGAAGAAACAGTTGTGAGCAAGGACGGAGATCTTGGAAGGGGAAATGAGCTATTGGGTGAGCCGTTTCCTCATTCCCTAGGAAATCCTAGAACAAGAAGGAGTTATTCCGGGAAAATGAAAACTGAAGCAGGGCCAGCCATTGCGCCCGGCCTACCTCAAATTTCTTCACCGTCGCACCTCGCCCATGTAGGGCGTCTCGATACGACCCCTACCTCAACACCATTGCTGTTTCTTTAGTATTTGATCATGAAACTAGTCAACACCTCCATCCTTGAACGCACTCAACCCACTGGGAGCTCTGCGCTGCATTACTCCTCCTGCTATTCAGACACACACCCAAGACACACCCAAAACATCAAGGTTCCCACTGTGCATAAATCTTGGCATAGTCCAGAATATGAGAATTCAGCTGCTTAGCTTCCAATTAAGACTGACATAACTTTTATTAGGCCAGGTGGGCCTCTCTGGTCAGCATAAAGGCTCTGAAAAAGGTGAAAGCACCGAAAAGTCGGCCTAATAAAAGTTACTCTCAATCTTGGTTGAAACCTGAAGAATACGTCCTCTCCTCAGGTAAGGTTCTTTGTGATAAGCAGTCTTAAGATACATGCAGGAATTCAGTTGCAACGATTGACAGCCAGTGATCTCGTGTATCGAGAGAAGGTCCGGTGAGGGGGGGGGGGTAGGAGGGATGTATCATTTTTCCGTGTTAAAGGGGAACTAGGAGGGTGATCGGTATTATTTTTTCTAAACTTGTTAGAAGGAAGTGGTTGATGATTCAAGGACTTGGGATCGATGCACTGAGCTCTCCCCCCCCCCTCCATAATTACACGAAGCCCTGATATATCCAACAGGTGGGACATTTTGGGGGTGGGGGGGGGGTACCAGACCCGTCCAAAACGATAAAAAACTGATACCTCACCTGACCTTCCGATAATCAGCGATTCTATTTTGCACACATCAGGTTAGATCCAATTTTGGAAGACGTTTTCCTCCTCTATACTACTGTAGATCTTGTCGTGTGTAGGCAGTCCTACGCGACCGTAGTATGGAGGCGACAAGGGCCCAACGACGACCAGACCTGAGAGAACAAAAACGCTGAGCAAAGCTTTATTTAGCCTCAGAACACAATACTAGGAGCAAGCCAGAGAGTGGAAAATTTTGTCTAAAAGTGGGTGCGAAACTAGATGGGTAGAACACCTTGATTTTACTGGTTACGGGTAGGGTGACGCTCATTCCGAGGGCAAAGCCTTAGGATAGAAATGATTGTACTTCAACTCAGGCTTATCCCTTCCTAGACTTAGCGCTCACCATGGCCAGGGCGAGCCCTCCGTCGTACGAACTTCAACAATGGAGTTGCATTTGGCATTTCTGGAGGGAAGAGGGGGTCGTATTTCGGTCCTTGTGTTGGCGAGGATGAAAAGGGATCGTATTTGAGACTTTCAAAAGGGGTCGTGGTGATGGTAGTAGGGGCTCGTGTTAGGCCTCTTCAAGGGGGGAGGGGAAAGGGAAGAAAAGGAAAAGAAAAAGAAGGAAAACCTTAGAAATCAACATAGAGCGCTTAAACCTGAACGTGATCCACAAAATCCAATCTTCCCACCCAACTAGTTTTGTACCAACGGTCAAGTAAACCACTTGGGTACTAGAACTTCTCCCATGACCTATACCCCTAATCGTAAGATGGAATTCCTTATCCTCTCAAAAATCCGCTTTTCCGGCTGATCGCATACTCAGGGAGTGAATGGCTCCCAGAAATTCCGAAAAAAAATGGGAAAATGACGTAGGAACGAAGCTGGTAGCACTTGCAAGCTTTAAAGGTTTCTTGCGAGAAGTGAGGAACTCCTTTGTCTGCACGCAGTCAGACACCCGAGTCCACCGTGGGGTTCAGATTTCTAAACATTTCACGACCTCTTCCTTACCGCCACTCGCGAGCTGGGTCACCCATACAGACAACCCCTTCCACCTCCCCCTCACCATCATGGCTGTTTCCACAGCTGATTCTGAGACCAGCCGATACACTCCATCTTCGCCAACTTGTTTTCCCCAATGGGGCCGTCGAGCGGATGGGTCAAGGAGGGGAAATTTAGTCCTATGCATGCTTTGCAAATGTGACTGAAAACACCTCTTCCGAGCACATAGCGATGGGCTTCAGGTAGAGCACCACCAGGATCAATCGTGCCATGCGCAGATTTCAACGAGGGGAGGGGGGCGTATTTGAAAAATTTTCGGGTAGGGTCGTGTTAGGGGTTGATGAAGCTCGAAAGGTGGGAAAAAGGAGATCGGATAGTGGTGGCTGGAGAAGGTGGGGTGAGGGGGAGGTGTAGCCAGTTTTATAATTTCGGCGGAAATTCCAAAAATAAGCATGAAGTAGCGGTTTTCAAGTCCCCCGGGAGTCAACCGTTGCGTTTGCACCTTTCCGAAAAATTCTGCGATCCCCCCTTTAACACGATGACATTGTGCAGCGCATGCGCATCACACCTTGAGCACCGTGTGGGACCGTGTGCAGCGCATGCGCTGCACACACAAAATATTTATTTTTTTCGCGCATGCGCTACTTCTTTTCTAATTTTTTGCATCTATTCCATAGACTACACCATAATATGACTAGACACGGCGAGGTTCATTGAATGGTTGAATATGCTCCTTTTTAGCGAAGGTTTTCTAAGCCCTACGAATTTCCCAATTTGTGTTCATTCCTAGTTTCCTTTATATTCTGATAATCTTGGTCATAAAAAAGAGCAGTAGAAGTAAGTACAGACCCACACATATAGCAAGACATATGTTTTTAGTGGAGCAACCGCGTCAAAAATAATTTTGAGGTTCACTGCAGCAAAAGCAACTGAAACTTGCCTTTCATCGCCAGAAAACGTCAATTCGATCGATTTTTTACAGTTGTCCCTTCTGATAAGTTTGACACATCGAATATCATTCTAAACATTTTGTTGCATCCGAGTTTTGGGTATTTAAAGCTCAAAATTCACGGATTTGATGTGAGGCGGCGGCGCCTGCAAAATCGCCGTGGTCCCACGCGGCGCAAAAACCCAAAACGCGCGTTGTCGTCAACGTGTTAAGCAGGTTACTCGATGCAACCCACATCATCATCTTTGGAAGGTAACCGATCCGACCTTCCTCTCCCCTGTTCAGCCGTGAATAGAAATGAAGGATTTTGTCTGTGTCGATTTGTGTTCTAATCAAAATACTACAGAAATAGTCACGACGATTGGGCGGTGGTCGGGGATGAGGAAGTGGGGCCGCCGTGTTGGGGAACCACGTTGGGCGGATGGTGCTGGTCAGGAATCATATCGATGCCCTCCCCCCCAATCGATGGTGAAATTTTGGAACTGCAACGGACTGTTGACGCTCTCACCCCTGCTTCACTCCGACTATCAACAAACAAACCTACTATAAAAATTGTATTAGTCAGAGCAGCATAGAATAGTTTTGCACAAGGACGTTACTTCGTTTAGTGGGTAAAGTTCAAGC